CTACTTTATCTCCCTGTCCCCGCTATTGTTTTATAGCCTCCTTATTGTCATAATTATAGTCTGCCTTTTATATTTACTTGAGCCTTACCCTTCTGTCTCATAGATTATATTTGAAGTAGAGACTGGGTCTTATATTTCCTGTGGCCACTACTTCAGTGACCTATGCATTGACTATGTATCTGACACTGAACACATCCTCAAATAATAATGAATACAGGCTTTATTTCAGGCACTGGGTGGGCACAATGAAATACTCTAAACTATTACTGTTAAAAATGATCAAACTAGTGGGTAGTATAAAACATAGGAAAAGATAACTATTTTATGAAAAATAATTCAAGAGAAGTCAAATGAGAGGTAATGAATACCATAAATATTCACAAAATGAAAAAGATTATTGTGTGTGTGGCAGGATAGGGGTGGAGTAGGCAGTGAATGCCAAAGAAAACTTCAAGGAGAAAATTCCAGCTAGACCATGAAAGATATTAGGGACAAAGATAGGAACTGATAGAGGTTCAAGAAGTCCATAGAAAAGGAGCAAAAGATCAAGTTTGATGACAAAGTATATTCAAAGTTCTTATGGGCTTGGGGATGAGCTTATAAATGGCCCTCAATGCCAGTCAGAAATTACTGCAAAAGAATGTAACAGGAAAATTCATCTGGTAGTTGTAGGAGATATTTTCTAGGGAGGTGAGGCTTGTCACATTAATATGTTACTCATAAGGTGCTATTCTCTTAACATGCATACAAGGTATTTCTCCATGTAAAGGATAACAATTTTTTGTTACATTTATACAGTGCAAATGTTCACAAAGGATTCATTGCTTTATAAGAGGTTTAAACATAAAATTCTTTTGAGAAAAGCAAGCTCTTCTGGTGAGTGTAAAATTATTTTTCTTCAACTTTTACAAAACTCAGACGCAACTAGACTGTAATGCAAGACACATCTTGTGCTATGTTAGCATGCCAGTGTATTTCTGGTTTATAAGGAAGAGTGTCCTGAACAAAAGCTCTTGCACTATTTCATTTAGGTTTTAAGGCTTCCTCAGAGTCCTAACCTTCCAAGATCACAAAAGTGAATATTCTAAGCTGCCTAGAAATAGACAAGACAAAGTAAACGCAAGAGCTCATAGATTTTTTTCTTGAAGAAATGCTGCACTGACTTCTTAACTTCCTGAGATATATGAGATTCACAAGGCCCACTCAGCCATCTGTTTTGCTTGATTTCAGACCATTTCCATCTTTTCCAGGGACACAGAGGGAAATAATGTATGTGCATATTATGCACGTGTGTGCATGAGCAAGCACACACACGCATGCCCAGCTTACATTGCGTTCCTCCATATCAAGTGTTATTTTCTTCGGGTTTTATGTAACCAGTTATTTAGCAGTAATATTTACTTTAAAGTTATAGTCATTTTTTAAAATTCAGGAACTTTTTAAACCTTCTTTTTTCTTCTAACAGAAAAAAAAGCAGCTTCCATGATTATAGCAAATTTTCAAGCCAGTGTTACCAAGTTTCTTTTTCAGGGTAGAAGGATTACTTAGCTTTTATTTTTATATAGTATTCAGAAACTTTTGGTGGATGACTTTGAAAGAGTTTTTGTTAAGAATTATGGGATTTATGGTGCACCTGGGTGGCTCAGTCGGTTAAGCATCTGACTCTTGGTTTTGACTCAGGTCATGATCCCACACTTGGTGAGATAGAACCTTGCCGTGGACTCTGTACTGACAGCATGGAGTCTGCTTGGGATTCTCTCTCTCCTTCCCCACTCGTGCATGCACATGTGTGCACTTATTCCCTCTCTCTCTCTCAAAATAAATAAACTTTAAAAATGAATTATAAGATTTATGCCCAAATGTGTATTATGGGAGTGTTATGGTTTGAATTATATCCCCTCAAAACATTTGTTGAACTCCTAACATCTAGTACTCAGAAATATGACCTTACTTGGAAATACAGTCACTGTACATGTGTAACCAAGGTAAGATGTGGTCATTATGGTGCCCTATAACAAAAGGAGATGAGAAACAGAGACACACCGGAAGAAGAAGGCCATGCGAAGACACAGGGAGAGTGCTATGTTAAATCGAAGGCAGAGACTAGAGTGATGGTGTCTTGAGCCAAGAAAAGCTAAGGATTGCCAGTAAATGTCAGGAGAACATTTTCTTCTCTAGATTCTTCAGAGAAATGATGGCTTTGCCAACACCTCAATTTTGGACTTTTAGCCCCCAGAACAGTGAGAGAATGAATTTGTGTTGTGTTAAGCCATTCCAGTTTGTAATACTTTGTAATGGTCACCCTGGAACCTAATACAGAGAGTGCTTACATTTCAGCTCTGAACATAAATAAATCTAAGAATGTTACGGTGGACGGTGTTTTTCCTCATAACAGTTGAGAAAGGCACAAGTAACCTGTCCTGTCAGGGAGCACACACCCCACTGATTCTTTTTTGCAGTGGTCTAAAGAGGAATTGTCAAACAAAATAACAATAATAGTTAACACCGAGCAGTGTTAAGTCCTATAGGCAGGTGCCAGGTCCTATTCTAAGCACTTTATATTCATCATCTGACTTAATCCTACAAACACCTGTGTGATGTAGATACTTTCATTATTGCCTTTACAGATGAGGAAATTGAAGTACAGGGAAGTTAATGAGTTGCCCAAAGATATAGAGCTGGGAAAGCTGTGGTTTGATCAGACAGCTTAGCTCCCTCCAAGTCTTCACTTCCTTTTTAGTTTTTCCAGAATTCCAGGGCATCACACTTTTCTGGAGGAGTGGAATTAGAAAGAAGGAAATTAGTATTTGGAAAGCCCCTTTATAAGTGAATGACATACTCTGATATGTTATCCTATTTTATTAATTCTCATAACAACTCTTGAAGGAACTTATTTGTATAGCTTACAGATAAAGAAACACATCCTATAACTTGTAAGTGGTACCAGAATTTGCCAGAACATAATGGCCTTTGTTCAGTCCCCACTCTCTAAGGGGTCCTTATATATGTTCTCTTTGACCTTTGCACAGTCGTGCAAGGTAGTTGTTCTGGGGAGTCATGAGAATGAGAAATGAACAGAAAATCTTGAGTAGGTTTCAGCTTGTGGAAGGCAGGCTAACTTGGTTGCTGTGCTATATTGTATGAAAGAAGAGCACCTGTTCATGGGATGAAGAAGATATAGATTAATCCATTACATGGAACTTGCTTTGATTAAGAGAGAGGATGTGAAAACAGTGAGATAAAGGAGCATTATCTTAGTTATGGTCACACTGTCTTCATCCATGGGTGGGAAGCTGGCTAAAAGTAGAGAAAATACATCATTGGGAAGGAGACATGACATATGAGGTTGAGGTATATGACTATGGAGAAGATCTCATCAACACATCTGGAACTGAATGTCTGATCTCGAGGTAGAAATCACTGGCTTTTAAAAGTCCCTTCGTATGTCTTGGTCAGATTTTCCATTGGTTGAGCCAGATTGAAGCTGCCTATGCACAACTTCCATGATGTCCAACCAATATTCATCACTCTAAAATTTCCTAAGATTCTGTGAGTCAGACTGGCTTCTGCCTATGTTTAAATTACCCTAGGACCTCTGGGTGTGCTGTGGAAAGAGGTTTCTGGTCTCACTGACCAGTAAAACTCCCATGTTTCAGATGAGGATCTGAGACTTAGAGGTTTGATATCTTGCTTGAGGTTTATTACAGATAATAAATGACAGAGCTTGGATTTGAAGTTAGGTCTATTGACTATTATATACATCAGAGTATAGCAACAAACTCTTTTGCTTGTATAATTATTTTTCTCTCTTGCTTGTATAGTTTTTATTTTGTCAGCTTCTTTTGTAATTTAAACTTTATTTGAAGCTGTTCTAGCAAGCTTGGCCATCAGATGTTGGCCAGTCTATATTTAGGAACTACTTTTGATGCCTCTCATCCTTAAACTATTACAGAATTTTTCTAAACATTCTCTAATCCTTGACTTTCCTTCCTTCACAGAAAGTTGTCAGGGACAAAAAAAATTATTAAATTAGATCAGATAACAAAAATCTGTAGTGGCCCATTGTCAATAGTAATTGTTCCTGACTTCTGTTCCCATGAGACTCAGATTTGGGATGTTTTGTTTATTTATTTATTTATTTTAAATTATTTATTTATTTTGAAAGAGAGCAAGAGGGAGAGAGTGTGAGTGAGAGAGGGAAGAGAGAGAGACAGAGTGAACCCCAAGTGGGCTCTGTGCTGTTAGTGTGGAGCCCAATGTGGAGCTCAATCTCACAAAGCATAAGATCATGACCTGAGCCAAAATTAAAAGTCAGATGCTTAACCAACTGAGCCACCCAGGCACCCCTGGGATGTTTTGAAATATGGAGATGTTCATGTTTCACTGTGGTCAGATGCTCTTAAACTGAGAACTGAGAAGATAGGTTCTGTATGTATATGTAATTTTTTAATTATAAAAAATTAAATTTACATGTACATGATGTTTCCCCATCTCCCGCAAATAACAACAACAAATAAATGAAATACACCCAGTACGAAAGGGCATAACATGAAAGTCAGAAGTCCATATCTCACCATAAAATTCATTTCCAGGTCTTCTTGAGCAACTTCCTGGAAAAACTTTTGTTCCTTCTGTGACTGGCTCTGTAGTGCTACATAATGGTTCCTATAGGAATATGCTTCATGGATGAGTCTGACTCACACCAAAAGCTGCCATACACTGATTATAGAATGAGGACTGACTGTAGCTGATATTCAAGGAACTTTGAAACCTTACTCTTTAACTACATCTTTTTCTGGGTCTGATGTTCCAGAAATAGGCATTTTCATGATCCTGGTGAAAATTGTTCTCCCAGCCTGGTATGTCCTAACCTCCAGTCCCTACCTATTGTTATTATTATCCTTCATGTACTCACTTCAAATGCATCCTTTATGTAAGTGTCATCTAATCTATTTTTTATTGTTTTTTGCCCCTCATTTTTTTCTTGATGCATCCAGAGTACTGGTTTTATTCTACTGAGAACTATTCAATGACATTTCACGCTATGCTCAGTTAACTCACCAGAACTGAACTATAAACCTTCAGAAGGGAGAAAGAGAGAAAGAGCAAGAGATGGTGAGTAGAAATCTGTTATTTCTGCAGTGGGAGTCAGTTCCCCTGGTTATGATGCCGATCATTGTGAACTTTTTAAAGTAAAGTTTGACTGTACTCCATTTTTACATTACTTGCTTATTTTAGACCTCAACCCCCCCCCCCCCCAAAAGATACTGGTCTCAGTCAGTTGTTTGTATGTGTCAGCACAACCTTATTTTATCCGTATTTGACAACTTGTATAAATTATACTACAATGCTTTCTAATCACATTATTCCTCTTTCTCTTGTTACTTTATAAAAGGAGCAACTACTGCATATATCCTAGTGGTTAAAGTTCCCGGCTCTAGGGGCACCTGGGTGGCTCAGTTGGTTAAGCCTCCAACTTCAGCCTAGGTCATGATCTCACCATTCTGGTGTTCGAGCCCCGAGTCAGACTGTGTTGACAGATCAGAACCTGGAGCCTGTTTCAAATTCGGTGTCTCTCTTAAATAAATATAAAAAAAAATAAAGTTCAAGGCTCTAGACTTAGTCTGCTTCGGTTTGAATTTCAGCTGTTAAATAGAATAACACATATTCTAGTTTGTCCAGGACAGCCCCCTTTTATACCTCCCATCCTAGCATCCTATCCAGTTAGTGCCTCTTTTAATTCTCAGAAATGTTCTGGTTTAGGTGATAAACTATATAAGCACTTTACCTCGGAGTGACTTACTTCATTTCTTTAAGCCTCAGATTTTTGCCTGTAAAATGTTGAAAGTGATAATATCTACCTACCTAAAGTCTTGTTTCTAAAGCATGAGGAATAGAATTTTGTGTATAGTAAATTTTCAATAAGTATTATCTATATCTATTGTTTTCTTTTTCATGTGGAATGTGTATCTAAGTCACTCAGTGTAGAACTTTTCATCATTTTTTAGGGCTGTGGCTTATTCATACAATTTCCCTTCCTCAGACTGTTTATTTTCAATTCTCAGAATACTGTTGTGATACACAAATTTTATTAGAACCAGACATTTCATTACCTCATGTCAAAAGTTGTCATTGTATTTACATACATATATATAGAAACACACATACATGTATCTATCAATAGATAAACACACATACAAATGTTAAGTTTATAGCGTTTTAATGTGAATACCTCTTTAGATAGGGTGTCTTCATGTGTGACAGGACATGTGCAACTTTATATAGTGGTCTGGAATATTCAAGAAATAATCAATCTTTTATACCTTTATGGGCTCAACTTTTAAATGTTTTTAAAAGCTCAAGGGATTAAAAATATCAGAAGTCAAAATTACTTATACCTAATAACATACCAACTAGTTTTGGGTCTTAATGGGATTGGGGTAGAAAGCACATCTTAGGAACACCCTGTAAATAATATAAGACAGAGAAAAGGGCAATGAGTAATTAGACCACAAATTCATTAACATAAAATTTCATATGAAATGTATAGGTTTCTAAGCTACTTATTAGACCTCAGTAAGTGGTTGAGAATCTGAGCTGTAAGAAATGAAAGTCACTGAAATAAATTACTACCAAGAGCAGAACAAACGGTCTTTGCTTTACAAACCTTGCTCCGTGTGCCTTTAGAGTTGAGGTAGAAGCCATCTAGAATGCAGTCTCATTCCTAAGCCTCTGAGAAGCATGTCATTACTCTTTCTACTTTGAGAGAGGAGCCTGTCAATCAAGCAAGCTTATTTTGCAGGTCCTGAAGGGGAGGAATAACACATTAAGTTTTACTCTCTCTTATTCTTGGTAACACTTTATCTCAAGTGCCCATTAACCAGCACACTCCATAACTCGGGATGAATTATGATGAAAGCACTCCCGTGGGAGTCCAAGGCATCTGCTTCAACCAGCCGCTGCCGATAGTTTACAAGAGTGAGTCTCTGATCATCTCCCAACATAGGAAAAGAGTCCCTGTCCAGGATCTACACAGAGCCTATCCTAAAGAAGGATCAGAGGAAATTCCTTTGTTCTCTGGTTCTCTCAAACCTCCTGTACTACCTTAAGAAGTCAGTGGGTTTCATTTCTTCTTTTATAATGACATATGTGACACTTCATCCTAAGATTCAGATCTTAATTTTTTAGTTTCTTTTTTCATGTCATGATAAAAAATTCTGGGGAATATATAGTGTCAGCTTCCTTTCAGATTCATCATTTCAATATTTTCATCTGCTACAACTGTTTAATTAGGAAAGGCTCCTTTTGGTAGGCTCCTTTTGTATAACTTTAATGAAACTGAAGAGCATGAAATGTGGTTTGCCTGCTTTTAAATGAAGCTACTTTTATAGAAATAAGATGAGAAATGGAGAAATTGTTGAAGTCACAGTGCATGAAATTAAGGGAGCCCAAACTGTATTGCCAATAGTGCTTTTTTTTTTTTCTTTTTCTTCTCTTAAGTTGATGTTTTGAGGACCAAGGTTGTGGTTGCTAACAAACAGGGCTGATGCCGTTTTCTCTTCTAGTTTTTTTCAAGTTCATAGACTTCTGACAGACATGTCTTTAAGGATTCAATTTGTTGTTGTTAGGAAAATTGTATGAAGCAAACTATTTACGATAGAGGGCTGTTTTCAGATAACACAAAAGCAAATTAATGATGGCATCTAGTTATGAGATAAAACCCAAAGCTGTGCTGGATTTCATGTAAAGCAGGATTCAGTGTGTAAAATTGAAACAGAATAATTGCGGAAAATTTCACTCAACTTGTGCTATAATCATAAGGCACATACATAGAATACCCCACCAAACCAATAAGCTATTATTTATGTGGGTATTCTAGTCATCGTCAGATTTTGTACCACACTATTCTGTCTCCATGAATACAAAGGGAAGAGATTTAGCAACACTATTCACATACATTAATCAATGTAATAACCACTTTGGAAATTCAAATACTAAGTTCAGGGGATCAGCATTACCTCACTATACAATCTAGACTAATTTGGTAATAGGCAATATTTGGGGGGGGGGCAGATTTTAGAAACAGTTTTAAGTGTCAGTTTTATATTATGAAGGTACTAAGAGAGATTTTCCTGCTGACCCAGAATAGATGATTAGTATTCTTTGAACAAAGAGCCATTAATTACCCTCAAATTTAAAGCAAGAACCTCCATGAGCCAGCAACAGTTGAGGCCAGAAAACTCCATCATATTATTAGCTTATGAACTCCTACCTTTACTCCAGCGCCCTCTCATTCTCATCCCAGACCATGTAAAGGAAAATCTAGGAAGCAAAGAGAACAATACAATCTTATGGACTCAAGTTTAAGTGCTACAAAATATCCTTCTTCTTCTCATGGGATGGCTGGATATTTGTCAGTGTTTACTCCATCATCTTGTAATGTGGGGGGAATGAGGAGTTGAGGGGATTGGGAACTATTACCAGACATAGCTTCCTCTTTAACAGAAGTGAGAAATGAAGACAATCTCCAGGGCCTCCTAGTAAACTCTGAAAAATGACCACTCAATCAAGAGTTGGACTTCTGACATTAATTGGACATAGATGGCCATTCAGGGTTAGCAAGGAAAATATAATCAATCAACGAGGAGGAGGCTACATTTGGTCAAGAGAACTTGGCACCTCCTTTCTTCACTTACTTCAACCCCAAACAAATCAAAACCACAGTGAATTACTACCTTATATCTGTCAGAATAGCTATAATCAAAAAAGACAAGGAATAACAAATGTTGGTGAGGATGTGGAGAAAAGGGAGCACTCATGTACTGTTGGTGGGAATGTAAATTGGTACAACCACTGTGGAACACAGTGTGGAGTTTCCTCAAAAAATTAAAAACAGAAATACCATATGATCTCATAATTCCACTACTATTTATACCAAGAAAACAAAACACTAATTTGAAATTATATATGCACCCCTATGTTTACTTAGGCAGTATTTACAAAGCCAAGATATGGAAACAAACTAAGTGTCCACTGATAGATGAATGGATTAAGAAGATGTGGTATGCCAACACGCAAACACACACACACACACACACACACACACACACACACGAATGATATGCAGGCAAGAAAAGATAAGATCTTGCCATTTCTGACAATATGGATGGACCCAGAAGGTATTTTGCTAAGTGAAATATTTCAGACTGAGAAACACAAATACCATATAATTTCACTCATATGTGGAATCTAGAAAACAAAACAAATGAATAAACAAACAAAAACCAGAATTAGATCTATAAACATGGAGAACAAACTGATGGTTGCCAGAGGGATGGGAATTGAAGGAAGGGCAAAATGAGTGAAGGGGAGTGGGAGATCCAGGCTTCCAATTATGGAATGGATAAGACACAGGAATAAAAGGTAACACGGTTGAGAATACAGTCAGTGATATTGTAATGGCGTTGTATGGTGGCAGATGGTAGCTATGTGTGTGATGAACATAGCATGATGTATGAATTTGTTGAATTACTATGTTGCACACCTGAAATTAATGTAACTCAAATGTCAACTATACTCAAATAAAAAATCTGAAAAATAGTGCAAAACTAACTAAGGAGTGTTATAGTTCATTGTCTTTCTCTAATGATTAATTTTCTATTTTAGCTCTGGGTAATAGACTGTCCTTCTTACCCTCTGTCTCAGATTGGGTTTTTTGAGAAGCAGGCTCTGCGGTGGGGATTTGCACGTGAGAGGCCAACTGGAGAGTGCTTTTGGATTGACGCTTACGAAGGAGTGAAAGAAGAAGGAATGGGTTTAGGGGGAGGTGGAACTGTGATGCAGTTAAAGATACTGTAATGGCTCTGTAGAGTTGTCCTGAATTGAGGCCGAGCCTTTATTACTGTCTGCATAGACCAGTCTTGCAGGAAGGACGGCATCATCCTGAATCACTGAGAGCTGGCTCTTGTACATCATTGATTCAGTCCTGGGGGCGGGTGCAGCCACCACACCGACCTCTATCCATGTAAAGAAATACTTTCAAAACTTTAAAATTTTTTCAGCATATTGGCCTCACCATAATAAATAGTTGCAAGTTTCAACTCAGTGAAATTAAA